CACCTGCCAGTCCACGCTGGGCACCCAGGGCCTGCTGGCTGGCCCGGGCAGGTGCCGCAGGCTCATTCCACACTGCATCATTTCGGAGTCCCTCAAAGGTCTCCGGCAGCGGCTGGGGCCAGGCAGTCTCCTCTCTGGCAGTTCATTGCAGCCAGACCCAGGGCACTTGTGGCACTAGTGGATTCAGAGAGATGAAAAAGAGGGGCTGAAAATGCCATGGTGCTGGCCTGCTACTAAGCCAGGGGCTTTACCTCCCTGCAGAAGCAGTGGGCAGCGTGAGGAAACCTTCCCTAGCCTTCCATATCCAGGGTGGAAACGGTCTGATCTGTCATGAGGTCTGTCACTGTCGTCCATGGGCTGAGGCGTCTTCTGTAGTTCTTGATGGTTTTGACAGACCACAGAGGTGAGGATATAAAAAAAAAAAGCTGCTTTTTACCTTCAATTATTTGTCAGAAAAATTCATAAATGACAGTGGCATTTCAGAGACAGTTAATTAATTTGCATCCTTATTTTCCTTTACGTGCTGATGGAGGTTTCCTCAGGCGCCACATTTAATAGAAGGCTCCAAAGTGCTCGAGGGAGCTGCTCTTGAATCGTTTTAATCTTCAGCCCTCATTAGGCAGGCCTTTGCTGCAGGCTTATGGAGATGGAGGAGCTACAATGAAAGAGAAAGACCTTCCTAAAATATAACTATATTTAATAATAACAGAGGAAATATAAACTCACCAGTCTACTTGGTTGCTTTTTATAGCAAAGGCCCCCTGTTTCAAGCCTGCACCAGTGTAAAAATGCTGCCCTTAATCTAATACACTTAATCTTTCCCTGCTGAGAGTCACATTTTCCAAGTACTATCTCTGTTCCCAGTGTTGGATGCTGCAATAGCTCCAGCTGGCATGAGCAGAGATGAGGGATTATTTTAAATTAAAAGGAATATATTAAAAAAGGAAAACAAACCCCGCTCTGGATACTTCTTTTCATGAGTGAATTGTGCTGTTTCTTTTGCATTTTTAAAGAAAAATGTAGTGTCAAATTTTTGAATGAATCAGAGTGCAGATACAGCGTGTTTATCTGGTGTTTCTTCTGATCGATATAGCAGTGCAGTTGCCTCTTTCTACAGACCAGCCCTGCTTTTGTGCCAAGCATGGCAAGCCCTCAGAGTTACATGATGTACACATAAAATAGGGATGATGTTTGTGTTCCTTTTTCTTCTTTTTTTTATTTATAAATTAACATAACAAACATTTCTTCTATTAGTCTCTGATTCTGCTAGACAGTTCCTGGATGAGATACAATTTTTTTATTAAAATATATTAGATTTTTAGCAATATTGTGAATATTCATATTCCGTTATCTACTGATGGCAAATGTCTGTTTGCAGAGTATTAGCAGGAATTGTTGTAGATGAGTCCTGGCAGGAGAACTTGCCCCACCAAAAGGGTAACTAACTCCTGAGAAACTATTATTTTATTTTATTTTATTTTATTTTATTTTATGAAGAGAATTACAGCAAACTATACACCAGGGACTTCAAGAAGAGATAAATCACTATTTAAATCTGAGGAAATACTGCTCCATGGCACTTGGCTTAGGGTGACAAATACTGTAGTTCTTTCATAGGCCAGGCCCCCTGGTCAGCATCTAGTGTCGTAATGTCCAAGTGAGGCACGCTGAGTCCTTTCAGATACAGTGTATGGTACCAGAGCAGCTAACGAACGGGCCCATTTTGCAATAGATAAGACCAGAATCAGGAGAGGAGGAGAGGGTGAGTAGCTGGAGCAGGTAGGAGGGCTTGTTTTGTCCATACCAGACTTTCCAAGAGAAGTGTTTCATATTGTGGGGTAATTGGTCTCAGTTTTGAGAGGTACCAACGGCAACATTTGCCGTCCTTGTGAAACACGCTTGGCAGAGTGGCCTGAGTCCGAAATACAGCAAAATTGTTCTTACTAGAAGGAAAATATTGCCAAGGTGTCTCAGAGGAAGCGGGAGGAAAGGAGCCTGCCAGTGGCTCCGTAAAGCGCAGAAATGGTAATTTTGTTAGAAATCCCGATGCTCTGCTCGAGCAGAGCCCGGGTCCAGACGCACTTGAAGCCTCTCTGAAGTGTCGCCATGAGCTGGAGGAGGGAGCGGCGGCCGCCTCCCCCTCTGAAACCGCTCAGGGCTGTGATCCTCAGTGCCCTCAAAATACTGATCCTTCTGGCTGATCTGCTTTTGTGTTTGCAGAACATCATCAAGAAAGTGATTGGACAAAAATTTGTCTACAAGTTTGTCTCCTTTCCTGAGATTTTGAAAATGGATCCACACGCCGTGGAGATCAGCAGAGAGAGCCTGTTGCTGCAGGACAGCGACTGCAAGATGCCTTTGGAGAGCCGGGAGCAGCACAAGCACAGCTTGTCTGCGCTGAAAAGCACAAGTCGAAATGAGTACATCCACTCTGGCCTGTACTCCTCTTTCACCATCAACTCGCTGCAGAACCAGCCAGACCCCTACAAGCCAATCAAAACAGAAAAACTGGAGGAGAAGTCAGAAGGAAACACACCTGTCGAAGAGGTTCGGACTGTTATAAGATTTGTGACAAACAAAACAGACAAACAGGTTATGAGGCCCATTGTGTCGTTGCCTTCCACTTCCGAAACAGCGGCTGCCTCTGCTTTTCTCAGCTCTTCAGTATCAGCTAAACTGTCTTCCTTAATGTTACCCAACAGTGCCAGCATTTCCTCTCCTTCATCATCATCCTCCCGGTCCCCGTCTCTGTCTCCCACCTCGCCGCTCCCTGCAGAGCACAGGAGCCTCTTCTTTGAGTCCAGTTGCCACGACTCGGATTCGCTTGAACCTCTGAACCTCTCCTCAGGTTCCAAGGCAAAATCTCCATCGCTTCCCCCAAAGGCTAAAAAACCCAAAGGCTTGGAAATTTCCGCCCCACCTATGGTTCTTTCCGGCACCGATATTGGTTCCATTGCCCTCAACAGCCCTGCGCTTCCTTCGGGATCCCTGACTCCAGCTTTCTTCACTGCCCAGGTAAGACTTGCCCCATCCTGTGTACTCTCGCTTCAGTGAGCTCTCCCTCTGTTTGGCCAAGAGAGTTGGCACTGTGGGGTCTAATCATCATATTTTGGGGGGGAAGAAAAGAAATCATGGGACAGAGGAAAACATAGCAGAGGCTTGAATGAAAGAATAAAAATAGGTTCCTCACAGCACTGTGCTCCTGGCTTCCCACATGAATATGGAGAAAGTCATTCCAGTTCACAGGGCGCCTGGAAAGATAACGAGACGGGCAGATGGTGACATGAGTGAATCACCAATTCAAACCAGCCTCCAGGTCTACGAAGCGAGCAGAAAAAGGCCAAGAAGAAACACACGGGATTTCAGCAGGTCTGAGCTTGAGCATGCACATTATGGGATGCTTGGTTAGCTTTCTCTCCTAGGTGTAGTATCTGTTCAGAAACTGTGACATTTTCATTAGCTGTCAAAGACAGAGCAAATTAATTGGTTTCTAAGACAAGGCTCTGAAGCCAGCCTCAATTACCAGGGTTTTGCAAGTCCATAGGGTGCTTGCAGTAGCCTCCTTTCAGTGCAGACCTCTTGCAGAAATGTTTGTTTTTGTTCTTTATAAAGCTAAGAAATATGTGATCACATATTTCAGGGTATGTCAAAGTCGAGTTCTCATTTTTGGAAGATAAGAGTCCATCAAACAGCAAGTCCATGAAAAAAGTCTAGCAATTCAGAGGATAAGAGGAAAATCACAGAGCATAAAATGGTTTAGTGTATTTTGGTGCAAATACCATCATCAAATGAAGCAGGCTGAATGTTAAATAAATACACAGATGTGTGTTAAAAGGTCTCGTTTACTCAGAAAACCCAGGCTGTCAAGGGGTCAGTCCGTATCCAGACTTGCCCTTATCTCTGCCCTATCACAAGAGCCCAGTACAAGGTTGTGTTGCGCATAAGGAGGGATCTGTGGCCCTTCATCTGTCATTTCTGTGCATTGCCTTTAAGTGACGTTGGGTTTGGCAGGAAGAACAGAAGTGTGGCAAACCAAAACTGAGGTGCCTTGACAGGCTTTTATAACCTCTAACTGTAGCATAACCACAGTTAAGTATTTTGCTTGCAGGGAGCAAATTTGATGAATAAATCATGTCAGATGCCAAGCAGACACAATGACAGCATGAGTTATTACAAGCTTTCTTTAATCTACTATTACCCCCAAATTCAGTATGAACAGAGCAATTTCCTTCCTCACTGACATGCTCATTTTGTAATTATTTCTTTAGACACTTTCTCATGTATCTCTAAAATAGTATAGCTACTCTTGAAACTAGCAAAAAGGAGTCATGTGGATGACTGTGGGTCTCATTTTGAAGGATGCTTAGCTAAGACATTGATGATCTACCTCTAGGTCACTGCAAACCTACTTTTGGGAAGGTGTCTCGTGACAGAAGAAGCAGCCAGGTGGGGTAGCCCATGGGTCCACTTATTTAGACATTCGGCTATGTAGCAACATAGCTTCTGTCTCTGTCTTAGCCTTCCGTTCAGTACCTGCTTCTTTATGGATTACTGGCACATTTTTTTTTCTTTGGCCTTGGCCCTCTCCTCTCTTGGCCAATGTGTTCATGTATTTTGACCAACTGTTTTCTTCAGGCCTCTACTAGCATTTGTGACATCTACACCATGCTGTTTTCCCAGGGCACCTGCAACCCGTGTGGTGTGAATGTCTGTATGGTTTCCACATGCGCTACCCAGGCCCTGGTACATACTAGTGCGCATGGGACAGCAGTTGTCCTCTATCCGACACATGCAAGGAAAGACTGTGCTCACCTGCATCCTCTTTCACAAAAGTCAGAAGCCAAGAGCGTCACTGCTTAATATGACCCTCTTGGTGCAATGAATTACTCCTCTTTAAAAATTTCCTATGCTTAGACTATAATGATGTTCTCTAAGCAGGAACTTAGCACTTGGTTTCAGAACCAGTATCAGCTATGTGGCTGTATGAGGGCAGAAAATGAAGTGAGCCCATCAGTTTCCCCATGTGTGTCCCCGTGTACGTCCTCACAGTGTAAGGACAGCCTGTGCTGGGGTCGTGTTTACATTACTCTTTCTCTGGGTGTTTTGGTGGCCAAACTGTGCACGAGCCGGGAATACCCTGTGTCCTCCTGCAGGAACTGCTGGCGGGGTGGAGCCGTCGGCTGCCCTTCAGGAATACCCTGTGTCCTCCTGCAGGAACTGCTGGCGGGTTGGAGCCGTGCTCCGGCTGCCCTTCAGGAATACCCTGTGTCCTCCTGCAGGAACTGCTGGCGGGTTGGAGCCGTGCTCCGACTGCCCTTCAGGAATACCCTGTGTCCTCCTGCAGGTACTGCTGGCGGGTTGGAGCTGTGCTCCGGCTGCCCTTCAGTATCCCGCGGGTGTCAGCGCCGGGCTCTGGGGACGCGAGCGCTGCCGTGTCGTGGGCTCACAGGCCCAGGCCCAAAGGAGCGCAGCCCCGCTTCACGTCCCCTCTCTGGCTGGATGGAGGTGTGAGGGAACACTCCTCATTTTCTCTATTTCTTTTCAAAGAACTCAAGAACTGCTTTCTAGTTTTGGGTATCTACAGCTTCATTAAAAAAAAAAAAAGGCGACAGAGTGTAGCTAATTGGACTTCTTAGTTCAGTTTGCACAATACTGTGAATGTAGCTGGGTCTGGCTGCTTGCGTATTTGGCCTTAAGGCACTGCCCTTTGCGAGCACAGCTCTTCTGTAAGTAGGTCTCAGTATTGGTCCTGACCTAGTTAGGCGGGCGCTTTGCCCATCTCACAAATCCCGTGGACAACCCTCTGCCAGGGCCCGTGCGCAGGCCGGGGGCTCCTGCCGCTGCTGCTGCCTTCCTGCCACGGGGAAGCACCGCGGCCGCGAGGACTCGTCACACGGGCCTGCTCGACACGCGCTTCTTCCCACATAGCTTGTCAGGAGCTCTCACGTAACAAGATGGAGCCAGAAACTCCCTCCTCCCTGAGCCTCCTCTCCTTTGCCCTTGGGTGTCATCACCAACGTCACCAGGATCTGGGCACAGGAGCTGAGGCTTTTCCCCATCCACCTGCAGCCAAGTGCTGCCATCTCTTCATAACGCGTGCAGCACCAGCTTCCCTGGTGCCCCTGTGGCCACGCTACGTATTATTTTACTGTATGAGCCCCAATCTTCATCCTTCCAGGGCAGCTCTAGCCTTTTGCAGCTCACAGGACAAGAGCTGCTGAATTGTTCCTCACTGAGGTGGGTGACCTTCTGTTCCAAATTTCAGTTTTTCAGTGCATCAAACCCAAGCTCTATGATCACTTTTTGAGGCTCTTCACAACCTTCCTGCTCCCTGTTCACCTGCTTTTCCAGCACTGGGAGCCCTTTGCTCTGCGAGCACTACTGTGGGTTCATTATTCCTTTGGATGTAGCTGCAGTTTCTTCGATGTGGTTCTATATTTACGAGCCACCTTCAGGACGAGGGAGCTGCCGTGTCCTTTCCCTTCACATTTCTCTGTGAACCCTGTTTCTCTCAGGAGTCCTTAGAGAAAGCAGCCACTTAAAGAGCAGCCAGGATCTTTATACAAAGCAGCTTTCCAGGTATCCTGGGACAGGATTGCTGGGAGGACCTTATGGCTGCTGCTCCCCCACTTTCACTTTCTTCTCTTCTGCTCTTGTTAAACTGACTGCCTGTACCTTGGTTGAGCCCAAGGCAGAGCCACGCTGGGGATTGCATCTGTGCAGGGCCTAGACCGACAGAGCCGGTCCCTCCGGCAGATGCAGATAATGCATCCGTCCCCTGCTAAAGTGTCCATGGCTTGTTGCACCTGCCTTCCCGATGCTGCTCGCCACGGAGCCGGAGCGACACAGCGCGAGAGCCTCCAGGGAAGCAGCTGTTAGGCGGGATCCCGCTGGCACCGCTGTCTGTGGGAGGCAGAGCTCGGGTTTTGGCCCCGTGGGAAGCTTGCAGGTACCGGAATGCAGCTACTGGTGCAAGAAAGGTCCCGGGGAGCAGTCTCCATTTACCTGGTTTAAAAGCCAGGCAGTCGAGTGGAGCCCACATTGGGCAGAGCACTGAGGCACCATCCTACGCAGGGACACTCGTGCCTGCCATGGGGAGCTGCTGGGCTGAAAGGCCAGCGAGCGCTTTGCTAACTCGGACTGGTTGGGGTGTTTGGCATCCAGGCTGCGGGAGAGTCTAATTCAGCGTGCCAAGTACTTTGTTCAGAGCTGTCACATCGCTTTCATGTTCCTTTCTGGAAACATAAAAGTGACTCTGGGTACAGAATAATTCATGTGACTCTTTGCCTTTGAACACAGATTTGCATGTGATTTAACTGTAGCTTCCCTCCAATTGTGCCTGAAAACGCCGGAGAGAATTCGCAGCTCTCCTCGTGAGCCCTGACATTGGAGAGAGCAACCTCAGAGCTGAGAGAAGCCTTGGCTTCTTAGTTCTTTCAATTTGGGTTCTTTTCAAACTATTAGCTCTGTTCGCTGCAGTCCCCTGGGCACTCAAGCCTGCCCCTGGCCCTGCGAGCCGCTGCGCCGCTCGGCTGCTGGATCTGCTGCCATCGCCAACAGGAGCCATCAGGGGAGTAACTTCAAAGGGCAGCAATGGATCTTTTGACTCCATACACAATTGCGTTTATGCATCAAAAGCTGCAGTTGGTTCAACTTACTGCTGTCCTCCAAAAAGGCAAAAAAAAAAAAAAAAATTCCGGGGGGAGCCGAGGCTGTGTGTACAGACATTGTGGCATGCGTGGCGTTTTACAGAGCGACACGTGCGGTTCCAATGAGCAATAACTGCGGCTCCGTAAGTGAACCTCAGGATAAACAAAATCAACCTGCATGTGGCGGAACACCAGGTGGGTGGGCGTGTGGTACTGCCCTCCGTGGGGACAGGACGGGAGGGACAGGAGGGACGGCCGTGCCAGCCCAGTGCAGTCGGTTGGGCATGATAAACGTCTGAACTCCTGCAGAGCCGAGCCACAAGGTGAAGTGTTGCGCTTAGCTGCTGTGAACACCCTGTACAAGGGCTGTAATCCCCAGGGACATGCATCACGGGGTGTTCTTTGTCTTGCAGACCCCAAATGGATTATTGCTGACCCCGAGCCCGCTGCTGTCTAGCATCCACTTCTGGAGCAGCCTCAGCCCTGTCGCTCCTCTGAGTCCTGCCCGGCTGCAGGGACCAAACACTCTGTTCCAGGTAGGTGTCTCTTAACACACAGGCTTGGTTTCTGAACGTGCACAAAGGGAAAAAACACCAAGGGACCATCTCCTCGCAGTGGTCTGGAGGTTTTCAGGCAGTTTGACAAAACATGGGGTTTTTAACAGGCATTTTCAGAGCCTGTACCTACTCACCTGTGGCAGCACTGTAGACCCTAATGAGCTGTGGCTGTAGCATGGCGAGCACATACATACTGCATTTAGAAAAAAGAAAGAAATACTGAATCCCTGTGAGAATAAGTAACTGAGCCCTCAGAGCTTCAGAGCCTGTGGGCCAGAGAGGGACTGACTAGGGGAGCAGTGGAAAATGGACTCTGGAAAAATCAAGACAAAGTTTGGTCTTGTGCAGTGTAGATTGATCCTATGGTCTCACTGAGACAGGTAGGACATTTTAGTATTTAAAATAAGATAATTTTAAAATAAGGTCTGAAGATTAGGGCTCTGTTTTCAGCTCTTGTGCAAATCATCAATGTGTTCTAAAAAAAATCACTTCATCTCTCTGACCTCCGTACATCTCTGTGTGTAATTGGAGAAAAGCGATGTTGTCCTCTCTCGTACAGGTACCATGAGAGTGAAAATCTCAAGATTTTGTAGAGATGTGTTAAATAGAAACGGTGCTAAATAAGCCACAAGGGTTGCAAAGCTCAGCTGCAGCTTTGGAAGAGGAGCACGGGGATGGACGGAGGGTGCAGCAGCTCCAGCTGGAGCTGCTCTAAAACAGCTGACTCAGTAAGTGATGGGAGCAGTTATGTGGATCAGTTAATAGGCAGGAAGCAGAAGAAGCTGATGGCCATCCAGGCAGCTGAGGAATGCAGGGAAAACCCCTGGAATGAAGTCCCCGAGCACTGTGGCTGGCAGCACGAGTGCAGCAGGGGGCTGACAAGCAGAGCCCATTTCGGTCTCTGACGCTCTGGGGGGACTGTCTGTCCTGCTCTGGGTTGGGCTTCAGCTCAAGCGCTCGGCTCAGATATGATCTCACTGGGCTAGTAGGTCATTCTGCCTCCAGTGGGACAGCTGCGTGGATTCCTGAGGCTGCACTTCACACAACTCATTCCTGCATTTCTGACCGTAGTTTTGCACGTGTGATTAGCACCAGGCCCACAGTTCCTTAGGGAGGGATATGCCGGAGGCTTGTCCTGGGATGAGCCTGTCAACACAAACGCCCAGCAGCCCTCCGCGGTGCCGTGAAGCGAGGAGCAGCCCTGGCCCCTTCACGTCGGGAGGGCCCAGAGGGCCTCGTGGGAGTAGCGCAGGACTCGAGCGCAGGCCGCGCTCAGCACAGCCCGCCCCGCGCCCCCAGCCACCGGGGAGGCGGGAGCGAGGCCCAGCCCCGGGGCCCTCCGAGCCCAGACGTGTCCCGCGGCACACGGCAGGCGAGGGGAGCTGGGGGTGCCCGAGGGGCCTTCGCTGTCCCTGGGCTTTCCCGCTGAGGTGCTGGAAGAAGATCAGTTCCTTCAAAAGGAGCCAAACTCCTGCGAGCAGCAGGAGGCCGGCGCAGCTCCACAACCCCTGCCTGCGCGGGCCCCCGTGCTGCCCATTCGCGGGCAGGTGGGTTTAGATTCCTGTGTTTGTTCTTTCCTCTCAGGGGTGCCCTGCTCCTTGCAGAGGAGCTGTGTTTGGCTATCGGTCTTCAGCAGCAGTGTTTCTGTAGCACAAAACCAGGGTAAAATGCACTTGAGTCTGTGGCCCCACTAGGCCCAGGGCACCCGATGGAAAAGTTTGGTGCTTGCCTTAGAGTTGCTGGGTGCACCCGTGTGAATGCTCCCTCACAGAGCTTGTAGGTGCTTATTAAGTGGGAAAACTCTCCTTCAGTGCCTGTAAGGAGAAGGCAGATCCCATGCATCTGTGCCTACTCACCCTGGCAGCAAATGCAAAACACCTCTGAAATCCACCGTCTCCTTCCGCACAATTTGCCTTGATACACTGACCTACCTGGAAAGTCTTCCCTTTGATGCAGTACTGCTGTGTAATTAAGCTTATTTTAATGTTTCATCATTAGTTTGAGATTACCACATAAATGGAAGAGTGAGAGACTTGCACAGGGTTGGTTAATCTAAGAAAGTGCAGTCAAACTTGTGAATTATCAGCTTATCTTAAATATTGAATTAAGCGTATTTATTTCCTATGGTAGTGCCACACTGGTGGTAGCACTGAGGGCGTAGGCAGGTGCCGGGCTGCATCGCAGCCAGACGCCTGAGTGAAGAGCCTGGTCGTGGGTCGCTTAAGCAGACTGGATTAGAAGGGCCGGAGTTCATAATCAGGTTCCGTGTTTTCACGAGCGCCGGCAGAAGCAATAGAAACATTTCCTGAGGATTTGTTTGGTTGGAAGAGCGATCCCTGGCACTCCTGGCTCCGTGCTGCAGCGTGAGTGTGGTGTCCAGGCCCCTGCAGCCCGGCACATCAGCGGCCGGCGCGAGTTTCAGCCCGAGGCTGGATATGGTGCCGAAGCGGAACAGGAATCCAATCCAAAACAGATGGTGCAGAGATGGTTACACCACAACACTAGATTTAAATGGGCATTTGCTGTTCAAGGGCTGATCCAAAGGGGTGAGAAGAAATACACAACTTCACTGGAAACTGGGATTTCTGCTGTTCAAGTCTTAAACTGACTGGTGCTTAAACTGACAGTACCTGTTGGTGCTGTGATACCGCTGGTGCTGCAGTACTCGTTGGTGCTGTGATACTGCTGGTGCTGCAGTACCCGCTGGTGCTGCGGTACCTGCTGGTGCTGTGATACTGCTGGTAGTGTGATACCACTGGTGCTGTGGTACCTGCTGGGGCTGGGGGACCCGCTGGGGCTGG